GCTGTGCGCGTGCGCGTGCGCGTGCGCGTGCGCGTGCGCGGGTGTGCGGGTGTGCGGGTGTGCGGGTGTGCGGGTGTGCGGGTGTGCGGGTGTGTGGGTGTGTGGGTGTGTGGGTGTGTGGGTGTGTGGGTGTGTGGGTGTGTGGGTGTGTGGGTGTGTGTGTGTGTGTGTTTGTGTCTGCGTGTCTGTGTGTTTGCGTGTCTGTGTGTCTGCGTGTCTTCGTGTCTGTGTCTGTGTCTGTGTGTGTGCGTGTTATGTGTGTGTGTGTGTGTATGTGTGCGTCTGCGTTTGTGTGTGTGTGTGTGTCTGTCACAAAGCAGGATTTGAAAGGGACACCCACATAACACAAGCAGTTGCAGAGGTTAATTACGCCGGATGCCCTAAATATTGCAATGGGACCAACCACATCCAAGCACAACTTGGGCTAAAGGGTCTCCAGACCATGTCAGGAGCAGGGTTCCTTTAATTTCCCCTGAAACATCACCCCGCCCAAAAGAAACTCACCTTGGAACGGTGATGTCTAAGACCCCCACAAAAAATGGAAACTATAGGGCCTGTAGGTGCCATGTGTTTCAATTTAAGAGGACGCGGGCCCTCGCCTTGCGCTTCAGCTCCTTCTTGCACCTAGCGGCAGAAAGGGGGTCTGAACCGGAATCCCCAAGCGATCCACCGATCTGGGAGAGCTTCCAGGAACCCGAGCCAGGTTCCACGTCAGGGATCCGACATTGGTGTCATGCACAAAACCCTCGGAGCTACTTCATTGCAATGAACCCCGAATGCAAGCTGCCGAGTTCTATCATATAACTATATGGCTGTGACTCTTAATGCGGAACCGCCTGAATAGTGGTGGCGCACACCACTTAAATAATGTCCACCAGGTCGCAAAAACAACAAGCACGTACCCATGTGGGGAGTGATGAAGGTGGATAGGAACTGTTTGCAACCCACCCCTCATCGAAACACCATCCAAGCCAACCGGCCTCGTTGCCTCACATTGTCCCGAGAAGCTTCAAGCAACCAATAACACGCCTCCCTTCGTGAGAAAGAACTCTTCTACACAGTTGTCCCTTCCAGTCGTATGGTGTCTGATTGATTGAACCTGTCCGCTTCCCGAGGTTCACACCGGAAAGCACCGGAAGTCAAGCCATGGGCGGGTGTTAAGCGGTGAGCTCAAAGGTTTCATGCCTGAAAAGCCGTTGAACGGGCATGCTCCACGCGAGGCAGCTAACGAGACACAAGACCATTCATTTGTTTCTCCCTCTGTGAGATGCACAAATATTTAAACGAGCAAGCCAGCCAACAAGCAAACAAGAAACCTAATTGAATGACTGGCTGATTTGACTTGATTTGACCTGACCTGACTGAGTGACTGACTGGCTCACTGACTGACTGACTGACTGACCGACCGACCGACCGAACGACCGACCGACAAACAAAACAACCAACTAATCAACTAGCTAATCAACCAACAAATCCAGCAGGATGCATGCGTGCGTGGGGGCTGGCTTCTTTTGGTCTCCGCTCATCCCTTCTCACCGGGACCCCTCTCCAGCTTTTTGGACCCGATCGCCGGGTCCAAAAGACCTGCCCGATTCCGAATCGGGCAGGAAATACGCGGACAGGTGACGCTCAACTGGTGGGTTGGAGTTTCGCGGTTTTCGCGGGAGGATGTGAGCCCCTCATCGAAAAATGGTTGGGAAAATGGGAAAACCCGCCCCATTTTCCTTCCAACTCAAACCACCAAAGCTGACCTGACATCACACCACTGTCCCACCTCTGCTTGATGCGCCACTCCGCCTCCGTCATACCCTCCGGCTTCTGCTCCACTACGATCCTCGGATCGAAGGTTTCAACATGATCAGAGCTAGGCCCGGTCATAGAATGGATATATTTTTGTTCGCTGTTCACCTGGAGCCACTGGTAAAATGCTAAACGTATCATATGTATCCTATACCCCAGCCGCGGATCCCAAAGGAACACGGGCCGTCGGAAAGCCACGGACCGTTCTTGTTTGGCGACAGGACTCAACACCTGGTCGTGGTCCACCCCAAACCCACGCAGAACTAGGCCGGAGATCCGAGGCCGTGGTGTTGCTGGGCCCTCCAAAAATCATGGGGGCTGGGGGGGAGGGAGGGGGGGCCCCAATAAGCCCTAGGGGCTTAATAAGGGCTTATTTGGGCTCCCCCCCTCCCCTCCCTCCCCCCCAGCCCCCATGAAAAAAGCAGATTGTGGCGGGGAAAACGCCACCGCCACTTCCCTCCGTTGTCTTCATTGTGACTCATAAAAGATGTCAGTTTCGCTGAAGGAGTCGCATTGCTGCGCTCCGCCAAAATCCTCAGGCCTGATACACCTCCCATGTGGCCTGTTGGAAGAATAGATGGCGGCAGATGGTGTACAAATCCTATCCAAACCAGTGGAACCCATCTTTCTAGCAAAACTACCCTTCCTCCCACAAACAAAGTACCCGTAAAACACCATGGCAACGTGGAAGGGAGGGCAACCTACCAAGGACTGCTGTGAATGTACAAAGTCCTGCACCAGTTTCCGGATGAAGTCCTCTTGGACAAAGCACTTACCCTGGACATCCATGGACTCCAATGAACTCAGCACCTCATTTGCGAATCAGATGGACCTCCAAGTCCCACTCGAGCCCAACTCCAGCTCGACTCGCCTCCCGTCCATCCGTCCGTCCATCGCTCGTCCGATGCCCCGGTCCACTCGACTCGCATCCGACCACTCGGCTCGACTCGGCTCGACTCGCATCCGATCCGACGCATCCGACTCGGCTCACTCGACTCACTCGACTCAGATCCGCTTCCTAGAGGCCCAGCGGCATGGAGCCATGGATCTTCTCCCAGGCCACCGCCGGGTCCTCGAAGGGCTCCCAGGGAAGCATCGCTCGAGCTCGATCCGGATGTCTTGGGATCCAAACGAACATGCGGAAGGCGCGATGTGGTATGGCCCAATTTGGAGCTTGATTTAAAAATAAATGGTTTTGGCGGCGAAAAGTGAAGAAATGCCGCGGGGTGAGACGGACATCTCGTTTTTCCCGTGTCTCCGCTGAATTTGGCTCGTGGCAAATGTCTTTGCCTCCGTGGCTGCTTGCTCACGTCACGCTGCGAATGCGGGCGCGGCGGCCAGTTGCACCAAGTGTAGCGTTTGTGAAACAAGTACAATGAAGTGACAAGCATTGGTGTCTTTTTTTGGGTCGGTTAGGTGGAAAATAGGTTGCCCTGGTGGTTTAATTATCTATCAGGACCATCTATGTTCGACCTCGCCAGCCAAAATGTACGCCTATGGTGACAAGGGCACATGAGCTTCTCACCAATTGGTTTACCCTCTACACAAGCCAGGGGTTCACATGAATCCAAAACACTGAAGTGGGGGTAAGTAAGCTGAGTGCAATTGGTAATAGAGAATATACTATGGGTTTGCTTTTGGAAAATAGACG